GTAATCTAAACTATCAACATTCGCTACCAGATACTCGCCCCTCCAAACATGTCCAGCCTGAATGTTGTAACCTAAGAAAACATCTTTCTTGGCATTGGGAGCAAAGTTACCTCTCTTTGGTTCATACATTCCCTCCCAAAAGAAAAGAAGACATCCGAAAGGAAGTTGTCTACCAAGAAACACATTGGCAAAACGTGATGACCAAGGTGAATCGTTTCCATTCAATTGTTTGACAATGTTGATAGCCATGGCCTGGTGTTTGGAGGCATATGGCCACAATGACAAAGGCATGTTGGCCTGAAGCAAGTTGGAACGCGCCCCTTCCAAAATTTTACGGACTTCCCGTTCAACAACCGCTTTGGTAGAATGGTGATAGTCAACAGAGAAGTCCGATGCTTGTATCCAAGTTCCTCAATGGCATCCAACATTTCTGGAGCATTATCCGTGTACACGGTACCAACAAGATCGGAAGTCTTGAGAAAATGCTTGAAGGCCTTCACAATGGAATCTGCCGCCTTGTTCTCAGAAGGGTAAACGCATCGGTATTGCGTGTACACGTCTTTGATCGCCAACATGGAAGTTTGGCCTTCGATTCCTTCTTCGATATCTTTGGGAATAACATGGTCACAAACAATGTGGTCTCCAAAACCACGTGCCCACTACAAATATCACGGTCTTCTCCCCTCCTACGGGACATCCTCAAAATCAAAAGGAATCTCCTCCTCCTGGTCACTATCCTCATCCTCTTCCTGTTCCTCATCGGCATTGGCAGCTACGCCAGCGTCGTCCTCCCCTTCCTCTTCAGGCTCAGACTCTCGGCTGGCCATAGTGGATGGAGTCGAGTACCTTATGGAGAATGGGGCGCATGTCTCATCAATGTATGGGGCCCTACCTAGAAGTTTAAGTTTAACACATTGTCCATCAAGTTGCAAGAAGATAGGAGTGGTATCCTTTCCCCAAACAAAATCGCACCCCTGTTCTAAAAATCTCAATCCAATAGAAAGAGCTGATGGGGCGCTTTGAAGAATGTAGGGATTGAAGGATTCGCACAACCGTGGAAGAATCACCTCAACTACATCTTCAGCAGTAATAGGACCATTTGCAGTCGTAAGCGAAATTGGTTCATTAGACTTGAATATCCTAGTGGCTCTGTTCACTGTCTTGGAGTCTGTACCCGCAATATCTTGGTCAGTACCAGTGTCTCCTAGCCACTTCTCCATGCCTACCGTACTTGGCATCGCAGTCACGCGAGCGCAAGAGGGCACCTGTTCACCGGTGACCGTTCTACACTTTGTGCAGCGCAAGTCATCGGGGCCTTCTGGGGAATGGTCACAAAGAAAATCCTCCTCGGTATCCATTAACATGAGCATCTGCCTAAGTGACTTCGCTGCCATAATGGCATCCTTAGTGTCACACTTGTGGGACTTTGGACATTCCTCAGTGGTCCGGAACAGGTGTCGTTTTCTGCTCTTATTTACAACATGCCTGTACATGTCCTTCCAAACGGGGAAGGTATGCGCCTCAAGATTGAATTCAAAACGAATTCTCTTCTCTTGCAACGGATTTCCCAGTCCAGTCAAACTTCTGTTTCGCATCTGGGCGCTTCCAATTACCCTTGATTGTCTTACTCTTCCCTTTTGAGTCAGTGACTACCATGGTGAACTAGTCTTCCAACCTCGAGGACTCCACAGGACAGGGTTTACGTGTAGGGAGAAACGACCTGTTCCTAGGCCTTACATGATGCCTAATGAGTTCTGTGCCAGCTTCGCAGAATTCCCAGTAGCCTTTACTCTTTGGGGCTTGAGTAGCTGTTGCTGCTATGCAAGACAATGCGAAACCTGTTTGAACACATGGAATTGCCTTTGGGCTCTTTTCCTTCTTTTCCTTTTTGCTCCTTTTGTCCTTCTTTGACTTCTTGTCTTTGGACTTTCTAGCTGCGGGAGACGGGCTACGTCTGCGCGGGGCCGGCGTTGCCGTTTCGCCGTGCTTGAATGGACACTTGTCGCCCCTTTTGCAGTTGCCCTTGGCAAAGAATCTACACGGTTTCTCAGATTTTCTACCCCTACTTGAACTTCTTGATGAGTTTCTAGAACTGCTACGGGAAGACGGTCTCGAAGAATTTCTTGATCGGCTTGACCTGAACGAAGAGCGTCCACTAGAACTAGCGCTACGGGAACGCGACGACTCCCTGCTAAGGGAACGGTGACGAGCGCTAGAGTCGTGCGAGTACTTGCGTTTGCTACCATACTTGCACTTGCCACTTTTGGCGAACTCATAGCATTGGTTGCTGTTGTCACCTTTTGTACTACGTTTGTCATAACTGGGGCTTCGTGTGCGTTTGTCATGCGGCGCCGGGTTAACATATTTTGCTGAATGCGATTGAGAGCTTTTCTCTCTCTCTATTGGTTCTTAGCCTTTCCCTATCAAGGTACTGTCTGACAGAGTTGATAAGAAATTCATAGCTTGTGCCTTTACTTCCTTCTGGAGCACGTTCATAGACATCAAGACAGATCAAACCAGAGTTTACGGGACTTCCTAACATTTTTTATTGAAAAGATCCTTAAGTGTAGCTGGGTCTGGGACATGGCTCATTCCAGTCAAAACACTTCCCCCCATTTCCTATAAGAAAGGACTTCAAGTCATCGCTATCAAGCGCGATCTTGAGGAGGTCTTCCGTTCCGTAAAGGGCACCCGCTTCCTCACTAGATTTGAAATGGACTTCAAACATAAGCAAAACCTGACGACTGCGAGCGATCCTACCTTGCTGTGCCTCAGATTCCTTGTAGTTAAGGATCTGCTGAGACAGTTCGCCCTTAGCAACCTTAGTCAAAGCAGCAAGTAGTTTCGTGTCTAAAATCCGAAACTTGCCTGGGTCTGCCAACTCCGAACAGAGCTTTGTCCTGTCCTCTCGGCCAGCATTGACGTCAAGCACCCACGCGAACGCGGCATCTGGGTCATCGGACGCGGACCGAATCGCTTCTGGAACTGCGGCCCTCCAAGTGCGGTACCTGTCAGGACTAGGACCTAGGAAATTCTGGGCGCTCTATCTTATCTGCCTCTTTTGCCTTGGGTTTATCGTGGTCTTTACTTTTAGCGCCCTTAAACCCCCCTAGCAAGGCTTTCTTGATGATTTCACTTAGATCTGGTTCTTGGGGAGTGCGTACCTGAGACGCCGGCCCTTCGTCCTGTCGTTCATCTTTGTCAATATTTGCGTCCTTGTTAAGGGAGCCAGTGAACAATGCATCCTTGTTGAAGTTGTATTGTTCCGACTCACTCCTGTACGCTGCCCAGGGATCTGAAGCATCCAACTTTCTCTTGTCTGTTGACGCTGATGGTTTCTCTGTTGCAGTTGCCCCAATTCCAGAAAACATTGACGGAAACCTCGTATTGCGTTTGCTTGCGTTTGCACCCGTTGCAGTTTGGACGGGAACTCCACCATGATCTGCATGGGGGCAAACCACCTACGATTGCAGGGACTGAGCCCTCTGTTCGTAGTGGTCCAAAAGAGCGAGGTTCTCCAACAAAAGCATTCCAGGTTTTTCCTCTGGCACTGGTGGTTCTGGATGAAGCGGTCCTGGTTTCGTAGGGCTATCAGGCGGTGGCTCGCGTGCTGCTGCCTTGTTTGCATTAGACAACGCTTGTGCCATTTGCCTGAGCTCATCCATCTCCTCCTTCAACTTAGAGTTGTCCTGCCTGAGTTCAACTATTGTTTGTTCCTGAAATTCCTTGTCAAAGCTGCTCTGTTTCTTGACTGCTTCAACTTCACTTGAAAGTGTTTTAACTTTTGCTTGAACTATTGCCAAGGAGCTTGCCAGTTCATCGCGCCTGAACTCTAGTTCAATAACTTTGCTAGCGCCGTCAGCTGCTGTAGCCCTTGCTTGTTGCGTTGCCTTTGCTGCTGCCTGAAATCTAGCATCATTTTGTTCAACATATTGCTGATGTTCTGACTTCAATTGCTCCAAAAAACGGTTGCCTTCCAAACAAGTCATTGTTAATCTATTCCTTTCCTGTACTGCTTGCTCGTGAGCTTTTGTGGCCTGCGCCAACCGATCCTGAAAATGCTCACGCTGTTCCTCCAATGTTTCCTGCGACCTCCTTATTGCAACATTGCCCTGAGCCTGAACATGTTGTTGAGCCTGTTGCTGAACATTCTGAACGGCCAACTCTGCTGCAACCATTGCTGCTGCAATTGACTCTGAGGCCTCGCGCTCATACAAACTCCTGAACCTGAGCGCCTCAAACTCTGCCTCTTGTCTTGCCTGCTCACCAACCTGCACTTCGTGCTGATGCAACTCTCTCCTCAACTCTGCATCAACAACGCCAGCGTTAACATTAACAACGTTGAGCCTTGTCATTGCCAACGTGTTGTTCACCGTTGGCCCCCCCCATTACGGCGGCTGACGGCGCACCGGCTAAGGTGGCTAGTCCGGCTTCCTGAAGGGAACTATTGCCGTCACTATTAAGCACCTGCTGGAATGCCTCCGAAGTTGCCTGTGGTCCCATTGCTGCCAACCTTTGTTGTGACTTAGCAATTGCTTGTTCATGCCTCTGAACTGCATTGGCGCCACTAGGAAAACTTGGCAACGTCGTCGTCCATAGGGTCCATAGCTGTACTTTAGTTAGCCTACGGCTGATAACCTGTATTTTACAGGATCAGGTCTAATCTACTAGCTAACCCTGTCTAGCCGTTAAGCGCTCTTTTCACTCTACCTTGAGAGTGCACGCTACGGGGTCCATGGGGATGATGTGAATTTCAACACATTCAAGTGCAGCGACTGCTACAAACCTGATCACTGCACTCCTAGGTCCTAGGCAAACAACAAACGATAAGCAAACCGTGAATGTGATCTCAAGCCCCGCAACACAGCACGCAAAATGGCTGCGCGTGCAGTTGGGGAAGTATGATCACATTCCTAGAAGTACAGTAAACGTAATTATTGCGTGTGTACAGTCTTTTAGACATCTGTAAGTTGCCACAATACTTCTGCGCAAGGAATCGCCTGCAGGCGGTCAGCTGATGGAGCAGGTGCCCCATCTGTACACTGATCTTGCAGGCTTTCAATAACCTGTAGTGCTGGCAGGAACACCATGCTTGAATGGCCGTTAAACAAATACCACGAGTTTGACAAGTGTGACAACATCAACTTCCTTTGAAATTGAAGCCTCTGTGAACCCGGAGATTGTCTCCATCAGCTGCTCCTTCGGGCACAAAACTGAATGACATTCCTACAGGGTTGATGAGCCGAACGCCCGAAGCAGTTCTTGCAGAATTTGACATTCCCTGCGCATTGACCCCATGGAATGGGAACGCCAAACTTCAAACACCCCCAGAAGAAAATTGACATCCTGCCACGGCCCAAACAGCTTACAAAAGCACATAGTAGCCCATCACTTCATTAGGTAGAGCTGCTGCAAGGCCAACCTGTGGACCAGTTTGGCAAACCCAACCCTACAAACTTCCGCAAAAATCAGTCGGCAGGCAGCTAAGTATAATTTGTCATGTTCAGGGCGTGTGCGTGTGTGTGAGTGCGACGGAGATCTCCGCAACAAAAAATACCACGCTGCGTGCTAGTTTCTCCGTGGGAATCTACTAGTGATGGGTAGGAAAAGCACTGGTCAGGTTGTCTGGTCGGATTGTTGTATCTCAAACGCCCTCGTCTGTTCGTACGTAAAGAGCGCCATATCTCAAGGCTGTTCTTCAGCTTTCTATCAGGTCGATGTTCCACGCGCGCACTACAGATTAGATGTACGTACGATCCAACTGCGCCGCCCCTGATGACGCCTAAAAACCTACCTGGGTAAACCAGGTCCGTCTGGACATTACGAACGGAAAGGCCTCAAGTCAGCAACAATATGGTTTATCCACATGAGCCACCATGGAAGCGAACAGCGCTTTCAGCAGTTCAAGCAGGTACGGTTTCACACCCGCCACTGGAAGTCTTTGTTGGTCACAGTTCCAGTGATGGGCCTGTGGCACGCTGCTCAAACCCCAAAAGAGGCGCCCATGATTCGAGGGTGGTACCAAAGGTGCGTCAACAATTTACGATTCACTTGCTGCGTCAGCCGACCAATACAGAAACGATCTCAACCTGTCAATGGCCATGCGCAAACCGCAAGGTGGACAAAGCCGCAACAATATGGTTAGATCGCAAATCTTGACAGCAGGTACGTCGTTCCAGCATGGCGGGTGCCTTAAGGCACTCCCACCCTGCAGACCCCCTGGATTAATTTGGATATTGTTCCGCTATACCTGCGCATACATGGCTGAAATACATCCAAGGGGTGCTCCAGGGGTACTTTGTAGCAACAAGTAAATCAAACAAGGTGGAGGCCAAAAAAGCAATCCTGATACTGGAACGCCGTCGAATTTGTCACACGTGATCGCCCATCGTCTGATGTTGTCTGCGGACCACTGAACATATTCCCTGTATCTCCACAGCCACAGATCATCACAAATGCTCACAGATCATCACAGATCCATACAGATTTATATCCAACCAAACATACCTGTTGCACCGTGACGTAACTCCGGGATGCTGCAGTATGAGGGGAGCCTAAAGAAATATATCCACTATGGGAGGTCACATCGTGGATCAATGTTTGTTACTAACCTTTAGGATATATTTTCAGCAACAAGACTCGATATGTATAAGGTAGGACATACCCAGATTGTTTTTCATTCCAGCCAGGCAAGAGCTAGAGAATCTTGTTCAGAATCGTTTTTTGACCTACCTGGGTTCATTCTCAAGAAATGTGGGCAACATTCGTTGGCTGGAAACATCTGAAGCGCACTCCAGCCCCCTGTTTCAAACACTTATTGTGTGTTACAATATCCTTTGGCACTGTGGCCAAAAAGCCTCCAGAAGAGACAGAAGACTGAGAAAGAGAAAAGAAGACACAGGAACAAAAGAGCAGAGTTCAAAGCCACTGTTAGATTTAGAGCCTAACAAGCCTTTAGGAAGAGAGAGAACCAAGAACAAGAGAAAGAGGAGGAAGAGGAAGGAAAGGCAAGCAAAGAGTCGCGAACCACCAAACACGAGTGCCAAATGAATGGCAAATTACAGAAAATCTGGGACCGCGTGTTTGGGGAACAAACAAAGAAGCCGAGCATCTGGCGCAACATGCATTACATCCAACAAGCCTTTAGAAAAAGAACACAAAACTGAAAAACCACTGGACTGGGGGAAAGGGGGCATGGAGATATGAAACCCCAGGACCTGGGTGACTTAAACTAATTTCATTAATTCCGTTCACCTCGTACCTCGTCTTAATTCAATGTGTTGAAATTATTCACCTCGCCTCGTTCAATTGGAATAATTTCAGTCACCTCGCCTCTGTCTGTCTGTCTGCCTGCCTGCCTGGCTGCCTGCCTGTCTGTCTGTATGTCTGGCTCCAAAGCCTTTGAAGAATAGCGTTCTCTTGAGCGGGCTAGTTTAATTGAGCTGTTCAGCACAGTTTCCATACCTAGTGGGGCTGGCTAGGACCCAAGACAACATCAACAAGGCTGCTAACCAATCCACAGTCGTGAAACCCTATTTCGCCAAAATAGTGTTCTTTCATGGAGCTTGCCTATTTGAGCTGTTCAGCGCAGTTTCCATGCCTAGTGGGGCTGGCTAGGGCCCGAGACAACGTCAACAAGGCTGCTAGCACTGCTAACCAATCCACAGTCGTGAAGCGCTATTTCGCCAAAAAAGGATTTTTTTCCCGGGGCTTGCGCATTTGGGCTGCTCAGCGCAGTTTCCTTACCTACTGGGGCTGGCTAGGGCCCGAGACAACATCAACAGGGCTGCAATATTTCGCAAAAATCGGAATTTTTCATGGGGCTTGCCTATTTGGGCTGCTCAGCACAGTTTCCTGACCTAGTGGGGCTGGCTAGGGCACGAGACAACATCAACAAGGCTGCAAACCAATCCACAGTCATGAAACACTAGTTCGCCAAAATAGGAATTTTTCATGGGGCTTGCCTATTTGAGCTGCTCAGCACAATTTCCTGACCTAGTGGGGCTGGCTAGGGCCCGAGACAACGTCAACAAGGCTGCAATCCAATCCACAATCGTGAGCCCCTATTTCGCCCAAATAGGATTTTTTCCATGGGGCTTGCGTATTTGAGGTGTTTTGCGCAGTTTCCTTATCTACTGGTGCTGGTTAGGGCCCGAAACAACGGCCAAAGGGCCGCCAACCAAGCCACAGTCGCGAAGCCCTATTTCGGAAAAATCGGGTCTTTTAACGGGCTTGCCTTTTAGAGCTGCGCGGCTCAGCATCTTTACTTACTAGGCCTTGGTGGGTTGGGAAACCAGGCCAAAACGGCGGCGAGCCAATCAACCGTTGTGAAACCAAATTTTGCCCAAAAAGGTTTGTTTTCAGGTTTGGATTTATAGTGACCCAAACTACAAAATCCACGCGCGAGCGGCCCAGTTGTCAACACCGGGGCCTCCGACGCGCGACGCTCGAAGCCAGCCTCTGGAAGTTTCTTCTCTTTTCCACCGCCGCGCGCGCGCGTGTGTTGCGCGCGGGCCGAGAGCACGTGGCTGCTTCAGGGCGTCGAGAAAGCTTAAGTGAGAAGGAGGCGCTTCTGACATTGGATACGGCTTCCTTGCTTAGTGGGGCTGGCTAGGGCGCGAGACTTTTCCACAATCGTGAAACCCTATTTCGCAAAAATAGTGTTCTTTCATGGGGCTTGCCTATTTGAGCTGCTCAGCACAGTTTCCTGGCCTAGTGGGGCTGGCTAGGGCCCGAGACAACATCAACAAGCCTGCAAACCAATCCCCAATCGTGAAACCCTATTTCGCCAAAATAGGAAATTTTCACGTGGGCTTGGCTATTTGAGCTGTTCAGCACAGTTTCCTGAGCTAGTGGGGCTGGCTAGGGCCCGAGACAACATCAACAAGGCTGCAAACCAATCCACAGTCGTGAAACCCCATTTCGACAAAAAAAGGAATTTTCATGGGGCTGGCCTATTTGAGAGTTTCCCTACCCAGTAGGCCTGGCTAGGGCCTGAGACAACGTCAAGAAGGCTGCTTGGCTTGGTGGAGTCCTGGTGCTGGACTTACCTCGCGCAATTTCGTCTAGAAGTTATTCTACCTCGTACCTCGTCAAGTGAGCCCGGCTTAATTCGCTCAGCTAGAATCCAGTGAATGATTCAATCTCTCTGCAGCTGAGATGCAGTGGCGTCAAGATTCACGCCGCACTGACCGAGTTTGAGTTCAGAGCCCGAAGCTGGGTCGGCGCAACGCGCCACAGCCAGCGGGACGATGCTGGGAATACACACGTAGAAGAAAACCGGCAAGAGCACATCCAGGGTGGTATCAGAGGTGCGTCAACAGATTACGATCTTGTTACTGCGTGAGCCGATTAGTACAAAAACGGCCCCGCAACAATGTACCTTAATCACAAAACTTGACAGCATCCCGGAATTACTTTATGCATATATACACATCACTGTGCAACAGATATGTCTTCGTTGGCTGGAAACATCTGCAGCACGCCCCAGAAACCAGTCAATTATTGTGTGTCCAAGTATCCTTTGGAAGAGGGTTTGACACACACACACACGTGGTAGCTGGTTTTTGAATGTTTTGCGCACTACATGTTCCACGCAAAATTACAGACACATGGTCAATCATGTCAAATAACAACATTTCAAGATGAGGAATTGCGCGCGAATGAAGACAAAACCTCCCACAAGCTAGCGATGTGTTCTGGGACCTTGTGTCTTTTATGAATTCGCTGCCGACCACAGCTGATACATCTGCTTTTCCACCTGCGCTTCACCCAGCTTTGCTGCCAAAGGAAACATGTAAGGAAGTCGTGGCCGACGGAGGTTTTCTATGCCTTCCAGCCGATGGACTTGTGAAGAAACGCAAATTGCCGCGCAAACTCCTCCAGTCGTCCATTCCAATCCAGTGCTCCAGCATGCCCACTGTCCAGGGGTTGTACAACGCAGGTGTCATTGGATCCAATTGGTAAGCGCCGACGTGCTCCTCCAGTTCAGTCAAGCGCAAACCGACCACACAGCATTAAATGTATGCTGAAAAATATTCTTGAAGCACCGTAGCCATAGACGGCCACAACAATATGAACTCACGAGGCTGCAACAGAAACGTGACCGCCGTCTCTCCTACAAGAGCGTCCTACAAGTGTCCACGCAAGAGTGTCCCGCAAGAGTGCTCCACAAGAGCGTCCCACAAGACTGTCTCCGACAAGAACGGCCTACAAGAGTTTTGGACAAGAATGTCTCGCGCGGGGTGTCTCCCGCTGGAGTGCCCCAGCAAAGTCCCACACAAGAGTGAATGTCCCAAAAAGGTTCTCCTCTCCTACAAGCGTGTTCCACAAGAGTGTCTTCCACAAGAGTGTGTCCTAGTTTCCACAAGAGCAGGATGTCCCACAATTTGTCCCCCACAAGCCACAAGAGCGTCCCACTCCCTCAAGAGTGTTCCACGAGAGTGTGTCCTACAGGCGCCCTACAGGAGTGCCACGAAGAGTGTCCTGCAAGAGCGCCCCGCAAGAGTGAGAGCCCCAAAAAGATATTTCCACAAGAATGTCCCACAGGAGTGTCTCTTACAAGAGTGTCCGTGTCCACCAAAAGAGCTTTCCGCAAGAGTGTCCCACAGGAGCGTCCCCTACAAGAGATTTCCACAAGAGTGTCTCCTCCAACACCTGTCCACAAGAGTGTCCCACAAAAGCGTGCCTACAAGAGTGTTTTTTACAAGGGTGTCTCCGAGTGTCTCCTACAACAGTTTCTCCACAAGACAGAGGGTCTCCGACAAGGGTCTACTACAAGTCTTGCAAGAGTGTCCCACAAGAGTGTCACCAAAAAGACCTAGAAGAGTTTGCCAGAACATGCCAGAACAGTGTCTTGTACAAGAGTTGTCCGCAAGAGCGTCTCCTACAAGAGTCCCCTACAAGATCCTACAAGAGTGTCTCCGTTTTGCGCAAAAGTGCCCGACAAGAGTGTCCCCGACAAGAGCTGTTCACAAGAGCGTCTCCCTCAGGAGAAGGTTCACCAGGCGGTTGCAACGAGACCGAAGTCATCGAAGCGCAAAAGCTCATCAACAAGATTCCGGAGGACGCCAAGAACATCGGCTTGCATGTAAAGGGCGACCTCGTGCTGACAGAGCTCACCAAAAGGTTGGAGACTTGGGAGGGACGAGCCATTGGACAGGCCTGCGACTCCACCAATCAAGTGCGTGCCAAAGCCAAGAATCGAATTGCCTTGTCTCATTACCAATGGGATAGCCTATGGGCTCGCGTCTATGCAACATGGGGGAAAGGACCGCGCTACGCTGGCACCATGGGCCCCCAGCGTTGCACACGCGGTCACTGCTAAACCGCGGGACTTCGACCAGTATAATCTCCGAAGGATGACAAGAGCGAGCCCAACCCACGTTATCCTACGCACTTCGCAACTTGGCTGAAGCAGGCGAAGAACGAGGTGAAAATGGTGGGATCGGTGATGGGGCTCGAACACAACAAGGAGAGGCTTCAAAGCGCATGAGCAAAACTACGGCGTGTGGCCCGAAGGAGCTGAAAGCGGCATGGGTGGAAGAGCTCAAGGAAAGCCATCGACTACTATTATGCAGGGTGGGGTGCTGAACACGGACAACCCCTGGAAAAAGGACCTGAAGTTTGTCGCCATCCGAATTTGGGGAGCCACGACGCTCTACCAGACCACGAAGGACCTTGACGTGGTCTAGTGCTTTGGGACGCTGGCAGTCGGACGCCTTCCACGGCTACCTCTGGGAGAACGACGAAAAACAGAGAGACCTTGCAAAGGGCATGGCGCAAGCCGATGCTCAGCTGCTGGCGCCACGACAGAATTGGGTTGACAAGATCACCACGTCACAAGCCACCCCAAGGCGAAGGAGGCATCGTCGACACCAAGACGGGCATCCACAATACTACATGCAGTGGATCGTTGCGATGAATGAAAGGGGTGTTCCACGAAATTTTGAGGACTGAAAGTTGGCCAGAGAGGCCATGTGGCAGAAAACATCTGCTACAACGGCAAAAGGTCGCTTCAGTCCAAGTGTTTGCAAGATGTCGTAAACGTGTCTCCTACAAGAGTTTTCCACAAAATTGTCTCCTGCAAGAGTGTCTCCAGTACAAGAGCGTCAAGCAATATTTGGCATTATTTGGCCGTGTGTTTTCGAGTGCAGTGCATGTGCGCATTTGTGTGCATTCGGGTTCATAGGCTCCATCTTGTGTCACAAGCTTTTTCCCAGTCTAAGAGAACAAGTCATATGTTTGAATGCAGTCTTTCGGAATGTCTAAAAGTCGCCATGCAATAAACATGGCTTGTGCAGTTCATTTCTCGGATCTTAATCCAAATTGTGAACTTTGTACCCAGTGAATTGTGAACTTTGTATCCAGCGATCGTAGGTGTCAATAGATCGTGCTCTGACTAGACTGAGTTTGCAAAAAGTTATCCTGAAGAGATTTATCCCTCCTCCTCCTCCACATTGATTGGCAGTGGTTCCATGTTATTTGGCTCCGCGACCTGTTGAGGCTTATCATTATGCCTTGACATTGTGGGTGGTGTAGGAATATTAGTCAAGGTAAGTTAGCACTGTAATGTTTTTGTTTTCTTTTTTATATTCATGTTACTGTACATGTTTTTACTCAATGCACATGAGCTAGGACACATGTGGCTACACTACTGTACATCATGTAATCATAAATCATGATTTCCTATCAACTGAGGCTGTGTCCGGTGGAGCTGATGAAATGTGGCATCCTGCTGCGCAATCGGGCAGCATACTTCATAGCCATCCAAGCTGGCGCACGTGCATCAGCCAATGCGCATGACACATAAATAGGCGGATAGGAATGGGAGCCAATGTTTTCGTAGGGTGACAGCGAACGGATGTTCATCTCTTCTTCTGCATTGCGGGGATCTCCCCATTCAGCAAACTCATGTGCTGTGAGAGGCAATAGCGGGTCCGCCATGCTATTGAGGACGTCAAGAAACGGGACTTCAAGTATCACAGCGCCAATGAAAGCAGAATCTTCCCTGGAATTTAGAAGAGAACCCAAAGTCAGTCCACCAGCACTAGATCCCTTGAGACACAACGCTCCAGGTGTCACCATGCCGCGGGCCAGCAAAAAGCGAGTGGCATCTGCAAGGTCCAGAACAGATCTCGACTTCTTCAGCTTGCGACCTGATTGGTGCCATGCCCAGCCTCGCTCACCCCCCCCCTCACATGAGCCCATGCTAATAGCCAACCTCGTTTCACAAGCAACAGATGCTCAGGAAGGAAGTCTGGAGTCGCGCAGCTGCCATAGGCCCCGTAAACATGCAGCAAGCATGGGCCGCCACCACCACTATCTGGACTACTAGGACTATCTTCAAGCCGTGGCTCCGAATGTAGAATGGTGATTGGTACCAATTCACCATCACGTGCAGGATAGTTCAGCCGCTCACAACGCAGACCTGTCACACCCAACTCCATTTGTGCCACGGCCTCTATACCACCACTAGATAGATCCAAGTTGTATGCGCGACCAGGTTGCACTGGAGATCTCAGGGTAAAGCGTACATAGCTTGCATTCTGATCAGCATTCACACCCGGCTCCACCAGGCCTATGGGAGGCAAGTCGACTACGTGGGACTTGTCTGGAGCTTCAAGAGGAACAACATAGATACGAGGTTCTGCCGCTTCATGTCCGTAAAGAACCAGCTTTTGTGAAACCAAATCAGCATCGGTCACATGCATTTCACCAGGCGGTCTAAAAGACTCTTGTAACCTTGACCAGCCAAATGACTCCTCGGTGTCTGCTGCTTTACTCTTCTCCGGAAGGGTGTAGACAGCAAAATCTCGGCGGTCGTGATTGCTAATCACGATGAAATAATCTTTCTGATGCTCGGCAAAGTACTCTACACCTGGGCGGGGCTCCAGCAAACAAGTCAGATCAGCGTCCTGCGAGTTGCATCGAGCATATCGAACTTCTGAGGTGTCTTTTGTGTTTGAGGACACCAATATAAATTTGCGATTCTTTGTTTTGAACAATTCCAGGTAGGCAGCTGGGTTGCTTTCGTCCCACAGTAAGCGTTCGGAAACGTTATGACCTGTCACATTCACGTGTATTGCCTGGTGTGCACGCTTTGTTGCCGCATCCGTTCGCACTGCCAGCATGCTGACGGAGTTCCCACACCTGCCAAGAAATTCAACACTCCGAACACCAGAGATCGTACAGAATGGAGGTTCATCAAAGGCTTCAGGATGAATTGGATGCAACCGGAGCTCAAAGGTGTCGTCCCCCATAAAGTCCACAATGTAAGCCAACAACTCATGATCATCAGACACTTTGCAAGCTGTGATATCTGCATAACCTGTCCTCTCCATCAAGGTTTTTGTGTCTAAAATCACCTCCTCTTCCCCTGGCTGTTCTTTGGGATATCTCCCAAACTCGAGAAAACCTTCATTGTTTGTACGTTGAAAATACATATATGGACCCTGCGCTTCTGCCTCCACGTCGTTCCGAACCAAGCGACTGGCCTCAGCCTCAAGCACCTTGAACTCGGTTGCACCTTCCTTGAAAAAGGAACGTGTTGCACCTGTTTCGGCCTCCACGAGTTCCGAGAAAGTTGCGCAACTCTGATCCTTCAAAAACGCCCAATCGTCATACGTCTTCAAAAAAGACGTTGCAGAGAGGTGAGGCTTTTGACGGACTAGGCCTTGCTGGTGAATCCCCAAACGCCATACCTCATGCGATCTTCTCCAAATGTCTCTCAATGTACGACGCAAGTGTGCCATCAATGTGCGAATGACCACATAGCTTCGAGTTGCACCTACATATTGCTTTCAAACCCTGCCTTTCCTGCCTTCACATTTGAAATATTGTTCTTAAGAAACCTTGACGAATGTCCGATCGGCTCTGTGCCCTGAAGTTGCATGCATTCCTGATGGCAAGCTATATACATATGATTGCAGGTGGTTTCATGGCTACTTGGTGCTTCGAGGGTCCCAACTCACGCTGCGCAAAAACCAGGCCAACCATCTAAAAATTATGCACGGAAACAACACAGTTTGTGCTCTCTGTTTGTACAACTTGTTTGCACTCACAAAAACATGGCGCCTGTAACTGCTTCTTCTCGTGATTTGTGTTTCTCAACACCTGCCACCAAACTCTGATTCTGCACCCAACAAATCTGCCCGTCAGCAATCATATGCACTCCAAGTTCGGGAGTGTTTGCTTGGGGTGCAATTTCTTTTTGGGAAAATCGATCTACTCCTACTCAAACAGCCAACCTTGGCGACTTTTGATTCCGAAAGGTGGTTGGTAGCAAACATGAAACTTGAGAGGAGGGAGACATGAAAGGTAGGACAGCGGGAAAAGAAGAGAAGGCGAGAGGCAGGAACAAAAAGGCAAGATTCGACATGGTGTTCCTACCTCGTTTCGCCAACTAACTCTGACATTGGGCTGTAGAAAAGGAATGCCCCTAGACTAATCACCACTACCGCAAATAGAAGCCGTTGCTCATATGCTCTTGAAATGTTCAAAAAGATTCTTAGGAAAACAACGTTGCCCCATGGCTCAGATCATCGGTGAGCATTGAATCGGAGCATCATAGGATTTAAACTATCCTGAAAGCAGAAGAGGCTCACGAAGACATTCCCCAGGAGAGAATTGACGTGGTTCACAAAACAAACCCTAGGTATGTATCCCCTCGGGGAACACCTTTCGTGATCAGAATTTCATTTGCACTCTTTCTGAATGTTCAAGAGGGTTTCAACGATCCTGAAATCATGAGAGGCTCACGAAGACGTTCTCCGGGAGAGAATTGAATTAAGAGGCCCACGAAGACGTTCCCCAGGAGAAAATTGACGTGGTTCACAAAACAAACTCTAGGTATGTATCCCCTCGGGGAACACCTTTCGTGATTAGAGTTTCGTATGCACTCTTTTTGAATGTTCAAGAGGGTTTCAACTATCCTGAAATCATGCGAGGCTGACGAAGACGTTCTCCAGGAGAGATGAGACGCTCACGCAAACATTCTCCAGGACAGAATGAGAGAATTTAATTTAGAGGGGGGGGGGGTTGAATTGAATAATCAATTATTAGACCCGGACTCGCCGACACTTGCTTCGCAAGTCAAACTCAAGGTATCCCCTAAAGGGCTACCTTTCGTGACTAAACCACAACGAAGTATACATTGGAGTCATTGTTTGAAACAACAGGTGAGTCTTCACTTGGGTCTTTGTTGGCCAGACCCCGGGCCCAGGTCAAGCGGTAAGGGCGCGCCCTTACAAAAAGGCATGTTACATTCAGAAATAAACACTCAGTAGGAACCCTTAAGAAACAGAAACTTGAACACTATAGGTAAGGCCGTAAGGCGGTGATAATCACCGAGGCGCCTCAGAATGTTCTTCAGTATGACATGGAAGGTTCCGCACACCAACAGTAACCCATTGACTCCATTGACACAACACAATTTTGTGACGGCCCTTCATCCTTGCCGCTTTTCACTTGGTTGCTCGGCCTTCTCAGCAACCTCTTTCTGCTGCATGGTGCGATTCAATTCCTGCATGGTGTTTTCATTGTGATATATACTTCGCAGGTAGCCTCTCAACAGCGCCCGCTCATCCAGAAGTGACCCAATTTTTGCGCCCGCCGAAGTGTGTCTGCCTGCTCTTCCTTGGTCGCCCCAGAGAGACAATTGCAATGAACACTTTCCGTGACACATCCAGCATACATCTGCCATCATTTTCCTGCCTCCATGCCGTTTGCACTGCTGCATCAAACTTGATACTTGATTAAACAAGATGGGACACACGAACCCGAATGCAAAACACGCACTCGAAAACAAACGGCCAAACTTTGTTTGACACTCGTGTGGGACACTCTTGTAAGACACTCTTGTGGGCACTCTTGCGCGTGTTGCACGGAACACTGTTGTGGCTGTTGTAGATTGGGCGTGTCGCCGGGGAGCGGCATCAGTGGTGGCGCCCACGACGCTGGGTGTTCCATGGCTGTATTTAGTCATCTGTGGCCCACCGTGTGGCCAACTTCCGTCTGTGATGTCGCTGTGCCATGCGCTTTGCGCGGCTTGGTTTGGAAGTGCGTTTGCGTGAGTCAGCGCCATTGGGGGAAGGAAATCATGTGGGTGCGCTTGGTGTTTCATTGTTGTATATATTCAGCCCGTGGCACACCACAAGAGTGTCGCACGAGAGTAGCCCACAAGAGTTTTCCACGAGAATGAGTGCCCCGCAAAAGAAGAGTTGCGTGTCCTGCAAGAGTGTCCCACAAGACCGCGCGACAAAAGGAGTCCCACAAGTCCAAACACTACCCCACAAGATTGCCCACAAGAGTGTCCCGCAAAAGTTGTCCACAAGAGTGTCTTACAAGAGTGTCCCGCAAGAGTGTTGCGCCAGAGCTTTCCACAAGAGTGGCCCACGAGAGTGTCCCATGTTTCCTTCCCCCAATGGCACGGGCTCGCGCAAACGCACTTTCCACCGAAGCCGCGCAAAACCGCGCCACGGTGTGCCACAGACTGGATACAACCGTGCAACACCAAGCGTTGCGGGCACCGCCGATCGTCCCCCTCCCTCCCCAGCGACAAGCCGAATTTACACCAGCGTGCTTTCCTTCCCTCCATAGCGCGGCTCACGCAAACGCGCTTTCCACGGGAGCCACGCAAAAACGCATGGCGCAGCAACATCACAGATGGAATTTGCCGACGCGGTGCGCCTACAACAATGCAACGCCAAGCATTGTGGACGCACGACGTGCGGCACTCTGGTGGTGGAACACTCTTGAGTGGTACGCCCTTGCAGGACACTCTTGTGCGACACGACACTCTTGTGAGACACTCTTGTTCGTACACGCTTGCGGGCCACTCTTGTAAGACACTCTTTGCCAGGCACTCTTATAGGACACTCTTGTGGAAAAGTCGGACGCTCTGGCGTGACAATCTTGTGGGACCTGGGACATTGTAGGGCGTGCGTCCGACCCCTTGCAGAGCACCAAGTCCCGCGCCTGCCACGCTAAACCCACTGGCAGAGCGGCGGAGCCCAAGGGACGGCAGGGCGTGCGTCCGACCCCTTGACAAAGCACCAAGGCCCGCGCCTGCCACGCAAAAGCCACCGGCAGAGCGTCCGACCCCTTGCAGAGCACCAAGTCCCGCGCCTGCAACGCAAAAGCCACGGGCAGCGGCGGATGCTTCTCCAACTTCAAGCTGGCGTTCTCCTTCCGTAGGCCTTTGAGCAACTTCTCGTTCTCTGCAATCAGGTCTTTATCTTCTGAATCAGATCTGACTCCTCTTGCTCTGGTATTACTCAGTTTCAGTTGAGAGTAGCAATATTGGCCCTCTTAATTGGTTCCTTTTCCCGTTCGGATATGCTCGCAATTGTCCCTAGCAGTAGTTTCCAATCGTTCCAGAGCCTCATTGAAATCTTAGCTTCAAGAAGGAGATGTGAGACCTTCGCTGATATCTGCATTTGGTACCCTTGTGGTTCTGCATGGATTTCTGCGTCTTGATAGCTAATCTCTGGCGCTACCGGTACCCTGAGATGATCAACAACTAATGGCCCATGATTATGACTCTTGTTGGCTTGTGACATTCATCCATGAGTTGAAGCTGATGACGTTCATTCTGCGTCTGCTTTTCCCTTTCAAGTTCGGTAATCTTCCACATATTCGCGTTCTCGTCTTGAAGGGCAAGCGTTTGTGTCTGCAGCCTGCAGCTGGCTGGTTATTTGTCTCATGGCCATGTTCTCACTGTTTAGCATCTGTGTATGTGTGCTCATTGCCGTGGTGGCACTTTGCGATTGCATTGGATCTGTCCTATCGGTCCTATCGCTCCCTGCAGTTCATTCGATACGCTTTCCATCTTTTGGTTCATAGCGTGGAGTTCTGATTGCTCTTCGTTGCTTTCTTCAGCTAGCCCTCTGTACTTCCCACAGATATGGTCTGCCATCTGTTCGGCAAGTCGAAGTTTGTGCTTGAGTTCTGCGACCCTGATAGTAGAACTAGAACCTTCGTCTTCTTGAACCAGGTCTCGTAGTCGGGACCCTATGGTAGACTCTATGGTCCGTCCATAGTTTGATACATTCGTGAACTCTTCTTTGGATCTCTGATATATAGGTTGGTATACCCAGATCGCAAACATGAACACTCTTCGTGCAAAACCTGATGCCATGTTCGACGATCTAAGAAGTACTTCTCTGTCTGTTTCTCGGCGGCCTGGGCTACCGCTAGTGACCCTGATCTTTTCGTTACTCTTCTTTGGTGATCGTGTGTGAGTCAATCTCGGTGAAGTAGACCTGCCAAGGGTCCTGAGAAGTCTCCTAGTACCCCTACCTCTGGGTAATTATTGTTCCGGTTGCGCGTTCCGGTAGAACGGCACTTTGTTCTCCAGACACCGCAGCGTTTGTTGGCATCGTAATGATCGTGGCATCCATTGAGCTCACGCCTGTCATTCCTGAGTCAGGAGACGACTGCGACATGGGTACAGCTGATAACCTGCGCGTGGATATTGCTCAAAAGATTATCGGGAAAATAACAGTCCTGCGTAGTCGGTCTGCGCGCAACCTTTTTCCTGTGCAGGCGCTTGAGCCAAAAGTATGTCGGCAGTAACGTGTGCTGTTTACACACAGATACAACAAGATATCACTCCACGTTCCCATTGCGCTGCTATTGACATATATACATATCTACACACGGTACAATCTGCCATCCAGAATCAGAACAACCCAAATACACCAACCAACAGTTTTGAAACACATTCGGTCATTAGTGATCATCGATACTTCATTGCTGGTGGAACGGGTGGAAAGAGATAAGGCTTCTAAGCATCGCGGCTGATTGGCCCTGATCGCTGTCTGCCTCACGGTCAAGACATGTTGCGGCAACCGCAATGCACACATGCACGAAGGGCCACGCGGAATCGAACGCGTCGCTGTCGTCAAAACCTGCAGCAATAAGATGGATGACGCGCAGGTGGCAAGAAGGAAACTTCCTGAGCTTGTGGCGGCTTGTAGGGGACAGCGAGGTTCCAGGTGGCTGAGAACGTGCAGCTCTTTTGTGATTTGCTGCAAACTGTGTCTTGAAATGTTTTCAATAAGCTTTCAACTTACGGCGCGTTACGTTGTTCTTGAGCGTCTTAAGGCCGTTACCCAAACAACTCGATCAAGCTTTCCATTCGGCCTCCCAAAGTGTTCCACGCGCCCTCTGCATGTAATGAATGTCTGCAGAATGGATGCCCACCAAACCAAATGCGCTTGCCCGGCTTGTGAGAGGAGTAAGCAGTCAGAGCCTTGCAAACTCCCGCGCAGCAAAAGGCAAGCGCCACTCACATCCGTTAACAGCGCCGTGGTGAACCACATGCTAGCCTGTAACGCCCACAAAACTATGGTAATGACAGAATATATTGCGCGCCGAAATGTGCAAACGGTTCATGAATCACCAACCAATCAAACCAAACGCAGTCAAAAACAACCGTGCCAAATGATCCTTTGCCAGCAAAAGTCTTGCCGCGCTTTCTCCATTGTAACGCGCATAAGTATAGAATGATATGTAGACAAGTGCATCACCAACGCTATCCCAATATTAAGATTTTCCACGAAAATTCAAGGGGCGTAACGGAGCCAGATCTACTGCGATTTACAATGGGACAGCGTCGCCGGCGCCCACACTTAGCGTCCTCCCTTGGCAAAGGTCAAGGCTGCCAGGAATCCGGGCAAGGCTTGGCCAGGAAGCTCCTAAATCTTGTCGGCTTGAAAGGAGAAGACATCGTGATCCAGGCTCAATCGGAAGAGACCCTCCAATAGCATCGCTTGGACTTGGAAGACTGTCATGGGCTGACGCTAGAGTGGATCAGCAGAACACATAAACGTATTAGTGCTGCGGGCGGTGTTGACTCATTGAGGTGGAGAGTCATTGAGAAAAAGTCCTTCAAGACCAAGTTCATCCACATGATTGATAGCTTGGCGTGCCTGCATTCATTAGCCAGGGGGCGAAGCAGCAGCAGGAAGATGTGCCGGACCCTTTCCACACCTCGCAAAACCCGGCCGATAGGCCATCAAGGCGGCCTGTTAAGAATAAATGGTGAGACGAACGAACTTCAGCCCAGCATCCCAGAGATGAAGCAGAATTATCTTGGCCCAGGGTCGTTTGCAAGAATTGACCCCCTTTCGCAGCAAAGCTGTTTGGCGAAAAAGGCCACAAATCATGTTGGCTCAGGATTGCGTCTACGCAAGAATTTAGAACCCCTCACAAAAAAGTTGCTGGGTTGTTTGGGTAAAGTTCCCCACGTCACTATGTCGGGTTCTTGTTTTTCGCTCTGCGCCCGCCGCTCCGCAACCGCCGCCTTGGCAACCGCCACCTCCGCCGCCGCCAAGCGCCGACCAAGCAACCACCAGACTGCCAGACCCTCTATAACGGAGCCAGATCTACTGCGATTTACAATGGGACAGCGTCGCCGGCGCCCACACCCGACC